GTTAATGCCTTGCCCAAGAGAAGTTGCGATAAAGAAAATAGCTGTCCGTTCCGCGAATTCGAACCTGGCACCTCCGGAAGTCAGAGTTGTTTAGACGCGGTGTCACGCTCGATTGACGGGGCATCCGGGTAGGAACCGGTAGCATATCCGACATCTGTGAAAGGAAAAATCAGTCGCCTGGACGTTAGAAAGCTTGGGCGCAAATAATGATATATTACTTTGAACGTTTCTTAAATCATGGCTAATATTCACAAAATTCAATTCCATGCATGAGGCAGTTTCAGAGTGACGAACATTTTGAGGAATGTCACTGAAAATTGGTAAGGTAGTTGGCGGAAACGAAATCCAGCTTGAAATGGTCAATGCGTTTAACTGTGATGGTATCTCTGATCTGCTGACTGATACATGCCAAGTGAAGTGGAGTTCATAAATCCACCGAAGCAGTGGCCGATCAGCGCGATGTCACTTGTTTGAAACGGAAGGTCAGAGAAACGCAGATGTATGTCAGCAAGCGAAAGAGCAAAAATTTAAGGCAGAAAATAAGTTAAAAGGATGTAGGTCTGTCAGCAGACAAGCAAGAAGAAATGTTAAAGACGTAAACAAGTAAACAAGCTAGGAACAACATGGAAAATTAAGAATGCAATTAAATGAGTAGGCACATAAGAAAATAATCAAATGGGTAGATGCGTAAGCAATTGTAAGTAACAGAGTAAACAGGCAAGTTGAGTACATGACGAGACATATAACGCAACTATTGGGGAAGTAAGCATGCATGTTAGTGCGTAATTGAGCAAAAAGTAACTACGTGCAACTGACTACTAAGTAACTTCTAATCGAAAATTTAAGCATTTAATTGTGTATGTTCGTAAGTAGGCAAATATGCGAGCAAGTGATGCAGCAGTTAGGCAAGCAGGTTGGTATGCATATAAGTAAATTAATATCCATGAGTAAGAGAAATGGTTTTCTGATGAACTAATAAGTAAGCAATTAAATAAATGGGTAAGTAAGCGAGTGACAAAAGGTAAGCAAATCAGTAAGTGCATATGAACGTAAGCAAATAAGTCAGGAAGTAAATAAGTACCTATGGACGTAAATAAATGGACAATGAAGCAAGTTAATTAGTAAGTAAATATGTAGATAAATAAGCGGGAAAGTGCCTAAATAAAGCACGTATGCAGGAAAATACACAGGCAAGACTTTAAATACGCAAATAAGTCAGCAAGGAAACAGATGAATAAGTACACAGATAAGTTAGTAGTTAGGTAAATAGATCAACAAAATGGTAAATTAGAAGGCGAGTGCGTAAGGAGATATGTAAGTAAATGGATGTGTCAGGGAAGTAAATCACTAAATTCGCGGATAATTAAAAAATATATACAAGGAAATGAGTAAGTAATCTAACAAGTAAACCAGTACGTTAATAATGAAATGCAAGTCGCAAGAAAGTAGATTCAATTAGTGAATATGGAAGCAGTTTGAACGGGCGGTGCTTAGGTCTTCAGAGTTTGCTCTAACTCGATCACAATGATTAGGTGGTGTTCCCTCTCCATAAACGAAGGGCCCAGCGTTTAATAATAATGGTGTCGAAGATGCGACAGAAAGGGTAGATTATTAAGTATTAACGTTTTCCAAGGCCACAAGTTGGATTTATGAAAGCGTCCTTTCACAAAACGTTCTATTAAACGTTAATAAAGTTTTATACTTAAAGACGCGAGACAAGTTTTTTTTGTTTTCTTCTTCTTCTCATCCCACTGTATCGATGATGATGCCGGGTGTTATTAGTATTCCTTCTGGATCAGATGAATGTGCACACGCTCTTCAATCATTTCAATTCCGTTTTAGTTCTTGCGAGATTCTATTGTACCATTGAAGATGTACCCAAGAGCCGCCCATGCTTCTGTCAGAACTAGCATTCATTATTAGCCTCGCAAAATGGCTATCTACCATATCACTGGCAATGACCCGATTTTCTTTATCACTGTTTGTGTAGCCAATCCCTCACTTTTGTCTCGTTGATAATCGTGTACTAATGCCTTGAAACATCAACCCTTTCAAAGCGCCATGAAAAGATGGTGGACATTTTCCAGCAGCGCTGCCTGCAAAACATTTTGAAAGTATGATGAAAGGATCTTGGAGAGGACCCCAGCCTGATAATGCTCTCTGAAGTAATCAGGAGCTGGCGTTTGTAGCGGCTTGACCTCACCATCCGGAAAGAGAGTGAAGTCCCATCCAGAATCATTTTCCTCCGTGATGCAAAAAAAATGGCTG